CACTATTTCACAGTCCTCGTGTTGGACTATAATCCATAGGAGTCCTCGTGTTGGACTATAATCCATTTCAGTCCTCGTGTTGGACATTTACTCATTTGTACCATGAGTTGGTAAATCACTATATCTAGTTCATGTATTGGACACCTGTATTAACCCTGCATATGGCACTTCACATGAGGTTATGACATGACACTCATGTAGGTTATGACATGACACCTATGTTAGTTATGACGTGATTCAGTATTTATGTTCTGAAATGAGTTGTATTTTCTTTTTATTATTGTTCCCGTACTAGTTTTCAGGTTTGGTGTTTAGGGATTTACAATTTGAGATACAAGGTATATACATGAGGGTTTCCTTGTTTGGATTATTTCGCTCGACGTACCTATGCTCGTGTTGAAATTTCCTAAGTACTAAAACCCATTATTCTTAGGAAATATATATATATATATATATATATATATATATTGTGATAACTGTATTTTTAATATGCAACGAGCCCTCTCCCTTAGGGTTGGTTGTGATGTTGCTCGCTAGTGCTTTGATGCTCGTTGTCCCTCCCCCTTTCAGGTGACGAGCCAGGAGCCCGGAGAGTTGCAGGTTGATGACGACACACTTTAGTATTCAGCTATCCATTCTAACTATGTATTATTTTGGAGTTCCACTGTAGTTTTTATTAGACATTTGAGGACTGTTTTCTAGATGTTGTAAAGGCTGTATGCCTTATTTCTTTACTCAGATATCTTGTATTTGAGACTTGTTGAGAACTCCAGTTTATCTACTTCAGCCATGGACTATGTATTTCTGTATGATAGATGATGAGATATCTATGTGTTGTTATCATTTCATCAGTATTACATATATTATCTTCTACTTGCTTTTGTATCTACACCTATTCTTGACTCTACTAGAGAGATGTTAATTGTGATAGTGAAAGATGTTATTGCACGGTGTGGTGCATGGCAGGTTTGACATTCTTGGTTTCACTTTGGACTGCATCCTCGTGTGAACCCAGGGGCATCACAGAAGGTGTCCATTACCTTCATTAATTATACTTCTAATCATAATAAGATTGAAAAGTTAACCTATTACTATTAACAAAACCCACAACCATTAAAATCCCCCAAGCCCTATCTAGAACCTGAAATCCAAAATCCCCCTCCTAATCATCCCCCCTGTCGCAACCCAACCCAAAAACTCAAACCCATAACTTTTCAAATCCTAAGTTCTCTTCCCAAATCCCACTCCCAAATCCCACCCAGGAACCCAGCCACCACCAGTACCTCTCACCACTCACCAGTCTCCCTCTAAGTCGACCTGGTGCCTCCGACTCCCTCTCCGCCTCTGCCTCCGCCTCCGCCTCCGCCTCCGTCTCCGCCTCTGACTCCGTGCTGCCGCCGCGTCCAGTTTCTCCTACACTGCAGCATACAGATCCGTCACCGAGTCCCACTCCTCCGTTTCCTGCCACTCCTTCGGGTCCCGCCACTTCTTCGCGACGATGATCATCCACGACGTCTGACGTCTTCTCCTCCTCAATTTGGTAAATCACTAAGGTGAATTCAAAACCCTAAGCCCTAATTTGTGGGTTTTTAATATTTCTCTCGTAATGATGATTATGTATCCTAAACTTTATGTTTGAATCGGCATGCTTTTTTTATTGCCGCTCATGAATGAACATGTTAAGATTCAGTTTTTTAAACCTCGTGGAATACATGAGCTTCCTTCTTTGAAGAGCATTTTAATATTCAGAGGTTCTGAAATAATTTTATCTGAGGATTCCTGAGTAATATTAATAACAATGGTTTCTCATGATTGAGTTTTGAGTAGCAGGCTAGGAATATTTATACAAGGTTGCAAGCTTCAATCAGTGACAACTGCATTTTTATTATAAAGATAGATAAACCCTTGGATTTTTTTTTATACAAGGTTGCAAACAACTGCATTTTTATTATAAAGATAGATAAACCCTTGGATTTTTTTTTATACAAGGTTGCAAGCTTCAATCAGTTCTGTGCGTATTCATAATAAATGCTAACACATACTTTTAAAGTTCTTGATTGTTCATTAAACATTATATGTCCTTAGTGTGACAGTCTGACAAACCCTTGGAAAAAAATTGTTATGCTTTTGCATGCTTCATGATTATTCCCCATATTGTTTGCTTGTGATATTATTTGCACAAATATGTTATTTCTCATTTGTGTAAAGTTGTAATTAGTTAACATATCCTTTCAACACTTTATATTCCTTCAAAAATTTGTTTACATATTTGTTTTCAAGGAAAAGGGTTCAGGCGAGATTGTCTTCAAGGCAATGGTAAGAGCTATAAACAAAACAGTGATGATTGTGGAGCTAATTAAGCTAATATTTTTTGACATATATCTTAATGATCATTTTGATCCCTAAGAAGTTGGAAACTTTTGTCTTGAGTCCTTCCCCACTTCCTTGTATTTTCTGTGCAAAGTTATGCCCGTTGCAAAATGACCATTGTACATAAATATGCTGATGGTGCAGAGAAGGATTGTGGGTCTTCATCAAATTACTGCTATTAGTGCAGAGAAGGATTGTGCAGAGAAGGATTGTGGGCATATGAGGTAACTTGTCTTACTTTGCGAGTTATTAAAATCATATATATTTTTTATCATATCATATTCATATTTATTTCCTAAATATCCGATTAGTATCCGTATCCGAACCGTATCCGGCTCTCTAATATCCGAACCGTATCCATTTCCATTTAATATGGATATGGTAATGTTTTTTCTTACCGATGAATATTCGAATTGTATCCATATTCATTTTTAGAAAGTGGTTATGTAGACACAAGTCATAAAAATGAAATTCAACCGGCTTCAATAAACTCTGATCTACTTTCTCGAGAATCAGAGAGCATCTCTCTTCTTCTGAGTTTGCTTGTAAGTTTGTCCCAATCAGCCTCCTTGTCTCTTATGGATCTCTATGACTGTTGTCAAGTTTTAGGAAGAAGTCTTATGTATCTTATTTATCATTGATGTTCGCCAGGCTGAGGATGATTTCTATGTTAGATACCATACACTTCACCTTCTTACAGATCTTCTCACACATTCCCCTAGCAGGTAATTTTTCATATAAAACCTGCAATTTGTTTTTTTTTCCTCAACTGGTGCTTATTTGTGATTCCAAAAAATCTTAATCATTATTGTTTTCATGTATTGCGTTTATATATTAGGTTACAAGAAGTGATTCTTTCTATTCCTCGTGGTATTTATGGATATGCTTAT